TTCTTGTTGTTAGCCTCATTGATTACTATATTTTTAGCCTTTGATGGCTTAGACATATGCATGTCTTCAATACCTACAGCCTCTGTGTGTCTATTGCAGAAGTTTAAATGAGAGGATAATATGTAGGTAGTTTCTCTTACCGTTCACTAGGACATCAGATCTCTATTTCTTTTACATTTAAATGGAGGTTTGGTCCTTTACCTGCTTTCTTATGCATCTATTTCATCCAACAGAATGGTTTCCTTTTGTCGAAATACACACACCTGAGTAATGATAGCAGCTACTCGATCTCCATTGAAGACGGTGTGGATATTTCGTTGTTAGAGAACCCTTCTCCTGAAGAGAGGCTTCTGGATTATATGCATGAAAGATCTGGCAAATCAAACACTTTCAACTCCCAAATTAACTCTGATGTTCTACCAAGCGTTTCTTTTGAAGCTCAGGTAAATTTTTTGTTTCTCCTGACTATACCCTGGATGTACCTTTTGCAGCGGGTTTGGAATGTACAAAAAGTTGTTGTGTTGTTACTTATTCTGTTGTTTGGAATAGATAAAAGATGGTAATGAAATTTCATTTAACTTAAAACTTGAAATTTCCAGTTCCTATAGAATTGGTAGGAATTGGTTGAGAACTCATTTGGTTGGATGTTAATGGAAGGGTGAAATTCCCAAATTGCTCAGAGCTGAACAAGTACATTGTTTTTCGTTCATGTTTTTGGTGTTTGAGTGCAGTTACAATTGCACATGCTATCCTAATTGTTTCAAAATGATACTGTTTCAATTACTTGGGGGTGGGAAGTATTTGGAAATTCACTCTATAAATATATGAGGGTCTAACATATCCTTTTACTTTTCTGGCACAATTTCAGTACAAATGCACTGAACCAAACAGTATTTTTGCAAATACATCTCCCTTATAGCTTGCAATTTAGAAAAATAAGATCAATTTACAAATACACCAGATCAGATGCGCGCTAAATGGAAATAGCGTTGATGGGTCCCACTTTAATTTGTTAATTTTTTATTGGCCATTATAGAAACACAACAATTAATTTTCATGGTATTATATGAAAATGAGAATGTAAATGAATTCCATTTTCATTTTTTTGCATAATCGGTTCCAAACGGGCTGTAGTTGTTCTAAATCTAATTGGTGTTTGAGGTTAATCTCCTTTCTTGAGGTCCATTTGCTGGTTATATGTTGCTTTCTGTATAAAAAGTGCCGAGGAATGCTTGCAGCTTCTTCATGTTGACATTCTTTTGACTATGGCGTATAATTCTTTCTTTAACAAAACATGTTACTCCTTTCAAATTTGTCACTGGAACTCTGGTATGCTTACTCTTCCTTGGTTGTTTGCTCTATATGTATGATGGATGTATTTGAGTTTTTCCCTCTGCATGTGTCACTTACTGCTTTTGTTCATTTTTGGTAATGGTTAGGTTGTCTCTCCTGAGCTTAGATTCTACGACAACACAAAATCGTCACTTGATGATTCTTCTTATGGTGAAAAGCTTCTACGTGCAAAAATGGATTTGAGCTTCATGTAAGGCTTCCTGTATTTACAATTTCCTTGCATTTCCTGGAAATACTACCGTTAACTCTGATGAGTTTCCTCTAACTATAAGACATAGCGATATTCACTGCTTTGGTATATAGGTATGCATCGAAAGAAAATGATACGTGGATTCGTGCAGCAGTAAAGGATCTTTCGGTGGAGGCTGGATCTGGGCTGATGATTCTGGATCCAGTGGATATTTCAGGAGGATATACTTCTATTAAGGATAAAACAGATACCTCTTTGATATCAACGGATGTATGCTTCCACCTTTCTTTGAGTACCATTTCCCTTTTGCTTAACCTGCAGAGTCAAGCAACTGCAGCCTTGCAATTTGGAAATGCAATTCCTCTTGCTCCTTGTACCAACTTTGATCGAATCTGGGTCTCTCCTAAAGGTTTGCTATCTGGTTGATTATTTATATATTTTTATTGTGACATCCCATCTGCAAGACTTGCCTAATGTTTGGCTAGGTATGTATGCATGCAGAAAATGGCTCTCGTAACAAGCTAACCTTTTGGAGGCCTCGAGCTCCAGCGAATTATGTTATACTTGGAGATTGTGTGACTTCAAGGTAAGGTTAATCTTTCTTTGATGTTTTTTTCTCCTTCAATTTGATTGAAGTTGGTTGAATTGCTTTCGCCTACTTCCGACTCTCTTGAAAGATTCTTCTTTTTTCGACAAAATTGAAAGATTCTTCTCTGTTTACTCTTATGTTTCTCTCCCTCTTTGCCTGATATATGGGTTCTCGCTTTTTGCTCATGCCATACTATTACTATCTTTGTTAGAATATGTTGCTATAGTCCAATCATATGCTGTGCTCTGACAATGTATATGCTCATTTTTAATGTGTCAGGCCAATTCCCCCCTCAGTTGCAGTGATGGCTGTGAATAACTCATATGGACGTGTGCGGAAGCCAATTGGATTTAATCTCATTGCCTTGTTATCTGAAATTCAAGTATTTGAATGTGCAGGCGGTTCGGAGTTAGATTCTGATTGTTCTATATGGATGCCTATTGCGCCACCAGGCTACGCAGCTTTGGGTTGTGTAGCACATGTAGGAAGGCAACCGCCACCTAATCACGTTGTTTATTGCTTGCGCTCCGACCTTGTATCATCTACAACATATGCAGAATGCTTACTTTGTGCTCGCCCACAGCCTAGTTCTTCGTCAGGGTTCAGCATTTGGCGTATGGACAATGTGATTGCTTCCTTTTATGCTCATCTTTCAAGTGAATACCCTCCCAGAGATAGCAGTTGTGACCTCAGTCATCTTCTTCTATGGAACCACGTAAATCATTCTTCACCAAAAGACACTAGACTGGATACAAATGGCGACGACTCTGTGGAATTAAAGAAACGTGAAAATGTTGGTGAAAATTCATCCAGGTGGGATGTTATCAGATCAGTATCAAAAGCAACAAATTGCTATGTGTCAACACCTAACTTTGAGAGGATATGGTGGGACAGAGGTAGTGATGTCCGACGACCAGTCTCTATATGGCGACCTATTGCTCGTCCTGGTTATGCTGTTCTAGGGGATTGCATTGCTGAAGGGTTGGACATTTTTATATGCACTTTTTCATACCTGTGGTATGTTTATTGCATACTTTATCTGATTTAGTTTTTGCTAACCAAAGGTGGCATTTTTCTCTCTCGTTTTTCCAGCTTGGAAGCACCTGCTCTGGGCATAATTTTTAAGGCTGATAGTACTGAGTTTGCTTCAAAACCTGTGCAATTCACTAAAGTTTCTCATATAATGGGGAAAGGGATAGATGAAGTCTTCTTCTGGTACCCAATTGCACCTCCTGGTTATGCTGCACTTGGATGCATTGTCACGCGTGTTGATGAACCTCCATCTGCAAATTCATTTTGCTGTCCAAGGATGGATCTTGTGAACCAAGCAAATATTATTGAAGTGCCTGTTTCGAGATCTTCAAACTCAAAGGCTTCTCAGTGCTGGACCATTTGGAGAGTGGAAAATCAGGTCAAGCTAAACCATCTGTGATTCTTGATATTGAATTGTTGAGATACCATGTCATGGCTGCTGCATGATCTCTTATCCTGTTGTTACCAATTTGATTCCTGAGATGCTTAAAATCAGTCTCTTTATTATTCTGTGGCAACTGTTTTATGTCTGTTGTGCTTTTTATGAATAGATTATAATGATTTTTCATGTCTTGTTCATATAGGCCTGCACTTTTCTTGCTCGTTCCGACCTTAAAAAGCCCTCAAGCAAATTGGCGTTCTCAATTGGTGATTCTACAAAGCCAAAGTCAAGGGAGAATGTGACGGCTGAAATGAAGATAAAATGTTTCTCTGTCACTGTTTTGGACAGTTTATGTGGAATGGTATTTAATCTACAAACTAGAAAATCTTGGTTTTATCAATAAGGTTGAGTCCTTAGCACAATTCTTAATGTAATTTTAACCTTTCCAGATGACACCTCTTTTTGATTTCACAATCACCAATATTAAGCTGGCAACCCACGGTCGTATGGAGTCAATGAATGCTGTACTAATTTCATCCATTGCTGCATCAACCTTTAACACTCAATTTGAAGCATGGGAGCCACTCGTGGAACCATTTGATGGGATATTCAAGTAAATCTTTGTGGGTTTTTCTATTTGACTCAGTTTTATTGACAACGTTTTCCAGGATAATATGATATTTTATTCTTGTTTCCAAGGTTTGAAACCTATGATACAAATGTCCACCCGCCATCACAATTTGCGAAGAGAGTACGAATTGCTGCTACTAGTATCCTGAATATGAATATCAGCGCAGCAAATCTGGAGACTTTTGTGGGGACCCTTTTTTCTTGGAGAAAGCAGTTGGAAATTGACAAGAAAGCAACTAAACTAAACGAGGTATGATAGCTTTCGCTGACTTTATATTGTTGGAAGTTTCCTACCGATTATATAAAGTGAGTTTTATAAACTGAAGCATTGCGTTTTACATAGGATTCTGGAAGTCGGCATAAGCCAGGAGAAGAAGCCGCTTTGTCTGCTCTGGATGAGGATGATTTCCAGACAGTTGTAGTTGAAAATAAACTCGGTTGTGATTTGTATCTGAAAAGAGTTGAAGACAATGTTGACGTTGTTGACCAGTTACACCCTAATGATAGCTTTTCTGTGTGGGTTCCACCATCAAGATTTTCTGATAGGTTAAAGGCTGCAGATGGATCTAGGGGAGCGCGTTGTTATGTTGCTGTGCATATTTTTGAAGTCAAGGTCACAGCTGGTTTTGTTTCGCCCCAATTCATGGATGACCTCAAGTATTATCTTGCGAAATTAGCCATGACTTCTTGCACCTTATTTTACAGGATCTGCCCATTCTTGATGACGGTAACAGCCACAACATGTTTTGTGCTCTACGCCTTCTTGTTGATAGTCAGGCAACGGATCAACAGAAGTTTTTTCCTCAGAGTGCAAGGACTAAATGTGTGAAACCCTTGCTTGACGAACTTGCTATCGGCACTGCTAAATGGAATGAATTGTTCATATTTGAAATTCCTCGGAAGGTATACTATGGTCCTGGTGATGGCTTTATATCTTGCGCTTCAATCTCCATATATAAGTTTCCACATTGTTGAGTATAAACCCACAAATGGCCAACCTCCACCACTAGTTAAAACTTCTTTTGGAAAAGTTTAGTTAAACCTGACGGTTTAGTTTTCTGGAATTCTGAAACTTTTGAAAGATTAGATTAGAAAGGAACTGTAAGCTGTACCTGTTTGATAACAGTCCGTAGCGTTGATATGTTTTGTGTTACACTTGTTAATATAATTTTGCCTATGGTTAGCTTCAAGTAGCTTCCCAACAAGTTTCCTTTCATCAGAAGTTCACAACCAAGGTTTGTTGCATGCCTTCCCCTCTTTATATTTGGATGTGGTCACCTGTTTCCTTATCATCATAACTAAGGTTTTGTTGTGTACCTTCCCTCTTTCCATCCAGGGTCCCAGTTACTGATTTTCCATGTACTTCCATTGTTCACATGGCCGTACATCTTTGCTTAAAAAGTATTCATATTGGTTATTGATCTGTCAGTCTGATAGTTTGCTTGTTTCGCCCCACTTGGATTCATGTTGTCATACTGCATATAGCTGAAGTTTATTTGTTATCATTTTTTATCATAACTTTGAGTTTGCGTGTGGCAGGGACATGCTAGGTTAGAAGTGGAGGTGACAAACCTTGCTGCCAAAGCTGGAAAGGGTTTGTTTCTCTGGCTAATAAATCTTGAAATTTTGAGCTTTTTATGCATGAAGTTCAATGAGACCAATTCATGTCAATATCTGCTTACCCATGTTTCTCTGATGTTTTTCGGTGCTTCTAATACTGTATCGTGCATTGTAACATCAATTTCTTGCCACCTGATGGCCTAAAGTCGCATATTGGTGGTGTAGGTGAAGTTGTTGGTGCACTTTCACTGCCCATTGGACATGGAGCAGCTCTGTTGAAGAAGGTTGCTTCAGTTAGGATGCTGCATCAACCGCACAACATTCAGAATATTGTTTCACGTCCTCTGAGAAGGAAGGTGAGCTACTGTTCTACCAAAACGTCTGTTGGCGTTACTCTCTGTTATTTTGGTTGCACTCGTAGGCTACTTGTGTCTGTCATGGCTAATACAGCTGTTCTTTTTGTTAAATCATGTACTGGTCCAGCATGACAAGGATGATGACATGCAAGATTCTGGATACCTGTCAGTGTCAACTACATATTTTGAGAAAAGTTTGCTGACTAATACGCAGAGAGGGAAAGAAACCGGGGATTCTACCAATAGAGATACAGGTTTCTGGGTTGGACTTAACTCCAGTGGTTCATGGGAGAGCATTCGTTCCTTGCTACCTTTGTCAGTAGTTCCGAAGTCACTGCAGAAAGACTTTATTGCCATGGAAGTTACCATGAAAAATGGAAAGAAGCATGCAATTTTTAGGGCCCTTGTAACAGTGGTTAATGATTCAGACATTAAGTTGGATATATCAGTGCGCCCTATGTGTATGGTTGATGGTAATAATCCCCTTTCCGGTTCCCAGAATTCTACTGCTTTCATAGAAGAGGTTTTTGAAAATCAATGTTTTCATCCAACTTATGGTTGGGGAAGCCAGTGTCAGAGTTCTCAAAGCTCTGATCCTGGTCGATGGAGCACAAGGGACTTCTCCTCGTCTTCAAAGGTTAGCATATTGTCATCTAACCGTTTCCTTCGCATAACTAGGGTGTTTGGAACTTATTATGCTCACTGTACTGTTCCTTTAATTTGAAGGACTTCTTTGAACCTCCTTTACCACCTGGATGGCAATGGGCTTCTAGTTGGATTATTGACAAATCTGAGGTGGTTGATGGTGATGGCTGGGCATATGCACCTGACTTTCATAGTTTTAAGTGGCCTCCAACTTCACACACAAACTCCTCTCTTGATGCTGTCCGCAGAAGGCGATGGGTTCGAAGACGTCAAGAAGTACATACAAGATTCAATAAGGACAATAGTGACTTCGTCATAGATCCTGGATCCTCAGCTGTTTTGCCATGGCACAGTACATCGAAAGATTCTGATCACTGTTTACAAGTTCGGCCTTCTGCTGGTCATTCTCAATCTGCATATTCATGGGGCCAAGAAGTGAGTGTTGGTTCTTCTGATGGACTTTGCAAGGATCAAACCCTGACTGATAAAGCCGTGCTTGCTACGCAATGCACATTGAAGCAGGGGAGTAAAATGCCTGTTGCTTTTAAATTAAATCAGCTTGAGAAGAAGGATGTTCTATGTTGTTGTTCTAGCACTGAAAACAAACAATTTTGGCTCAGTGTAGGAGCTGATGCTTCGGTTCTTACCACAGAGCTTAATAAGCCTGTTTATGACTGGACAATATCCATCAACTCTCCGCTGAAGTTAGAAAATCAGCTATCTTGCTCAGCTGAATTCACAATTTGGGAAAAGGCTAAAGAAGGTGGTTATACAGAGCAACAACATGGTGCAATTTCCTCATGGGAGAGTGTTCATATCTATTTTGCTGATATCCATAAGCCAATCTATCTTACGTTGCTTGTTCACGGTGGTTGGGTTATGGAGAAGGTACAAGACAGTCAAAATAGGCATGACATTCGTTATAAATGGAAAACTGTATGCAGAAGAAGAGGATTTCCTTCCGCAGCTTAAAATCTTTCAAGTCACAGGAATATGTCTCATCATTTATTTACTGGAACATAAAATGATTGTTATTTCTGTTTGCAGCCTCTTATCCTACTTCTGGATCTTGCTTCAAGTGATCGCTCTTCATCATTCTGGATGGTCCACCACCAAAGTAAAAGGTTTGTGGTTCGACTTCTTTTGAAGAAAGACCATTGAGACAACATTATTAAGTAGCTTGGGTTAACTGATTCCACGTGCTTTGCTTATAAAAAATTTAGAAATTGGTAGACATGATTTCAGATTAATCTATCCGTGTATGTAGTATGAAGCAGTTAAATGAATTTATCATGTACTGAAGTTAGCTCCGAAATTGGAAATTTTCAGCTGTACATCTTGTCTCAGATACAGGAACATTGTTTGACATAATTTACAATACTGATGCTGACAAGTAGTATTAAACATTATGTAATGTGAATGGGGAATCACCTAGGTTCTCGATTGCTGTTCAACTTATAAAATTCCTTGTTTGTGCGAACTTCATTTTATCTGAAAGGAATGAGGTATTATCGGATAGCTTCCAGGTGATATGTTTGCAACTTGGCTTTCAGAATAGGTACTTATTTGTGCAAAATTATATATGATGTCCTCCTACCTTTTGTATTTCATTAATTGTACACTTGAAATGAATAGGAGGCTACGTGTGAACATTGAGCGAGACATGGGAGGAAGCATCACTGCTCCAAAAGCAATTAAGATCTTTGTTCCATATTGGATTGTAAATTCTTCATCTCTGCCATTAGCATATCGAGTTGTAGAAACAGAGGGTACAGACAGCACAGATTTGGATTCACAGTCACTTTCTAGAGTAAATTCCGTGAAACATACCTCAAAAGCTACCACAATGGAGAGGCGACCCTCTAGCATGAAAAGAAATGCTGACGTTGTTGAGGTAATTGAGGATACAAGCCCGGTACCAAGTATGTTCTCACTGCAGGACCCTGCTGGTCGTAGTGGGGTAACAGTACTGTTCCCGTCGCAGAAAGATGCATTCCTATCTGCACGAGTTGGGCTGGCTGTTGCTGTTCGACATTCTGACTCCTACAGTCCTGGGATATCACTCCTTGAGCTGGAAAAGAAGGTGATTTGGGACCTAAAGCTGTCTACTTCACGGAAAATCTCCATTATTTGCTGACTTTCTTTATTATGTATGGTGTTTAAATACTTTCCAGGAAAGGGTTGACGTGAAAGCTTTTAGTTCGGATGGATCATACTACAAGCTCTCAGCCCTGCTGAAGACCTCAGAGAGAACAAAGGTTTGACTTCATTATTAAGAGTGCTTTTTGGTTGCATGATGCAGGCATGTGTTTCCATTTCTTCGGTTTGTTCAAGTTATCTAGTATATATTATACTTGATAGGCACACTCCATTTTTGTTGTTTAAAATAATCATTAGTTTAGAGGATAGCCCCCTGACCGTGGCGGCAACCCCATCGTTGGAGGAGTGTATTAGTCGGATACAAGTTATCAGTCTAAACAAATGTAAGAACTATGCATTAGGCGTCTCCGTCTAGGGTTCTAAGACTGGGGATGGATTTAAGGATTGGAATTGAGGAAAGAAGACAAATTTGAGAAGGAAAGGAAGGAGAATTAAAGAGAGAGGGATCGGGTTTAGGGGCCTACGCAGAGGGAGGGAAGAGAGAGCAAGAGAGTTCGCCTAGAGAGAGGAAGATTAGTATTAGGGAATTATGTTTTGTATTTGCTTAATGAGAAAATCTTAACAATTACAAAAAGACCGACTAATTCCCTCTAACTATCCATATTTAACCTCATTACTGAAATACTCAAATAACACCCAAACCCCTACATATACCAAAATGTATCTACAATTCCAAAATCATGATAAAACTGACAAAATTATCCAAATAGTAAATAAAGAGAAATTCATGTTTCTAACAACAAACTTCCTTCAGTGAAACACTAGTCTTTTGGATACCTTCATCGTGCCTTAGTAGGTAACCACAAAGGGGTAGCTCAAATGGTAAGGTATGAGGATGGGCTAGATGCGCTCTCGTGTTCAATTCCTGCGGCCAACGATTATGAGAAATAAATCCCGTTTTGCTGGCTATTCATGGAGGCTGGGGTATCCTCGGACGTGTGCGCCGTGGTCTCCATGTTATCGACAAAAATGTGCATTAGTAGAATGCATGGGATGAGTAGTTATGTAACTAAAAGTGTGATTTGTGTTTCAAAGTTGAAAAGTTTCACAATGTACCTGACAACTGTTGATTATACGACATGCAGGTTGTTCACTTTCAGCCACACACCTTGTTTGTGAAACAGGGTTGGTTCCAGTCTCGGTCTTCAGCAGTGTGATTCTCACTTGGTGGAATGGGTTCATCCAACGGATCCTCCAAAGCCTTTTAGATGGCAGTCTTTTGCCAGAGTTGAGATGTTGAAGGTTGGTGGTCGTCAAGAAGTTACAATTTTCCAACTATGTGTACATGTTTTCACTTGGTTTCTTCTGACTGAAGCTGCGGGTTGAAGGATACCAGTGGAGCATGCCGTTTAGCGTTTACAATGAAGGCACAATACGTATCTCCTTAAAAAGTGATGTGGGAGATAATCAACTGCAGCTAAAGATACAAGTACGAAATGGTACAAAAACCTCGCGATATGAAGTTATATTCCGTCCAAACTCTTCATCCAGCCCTTACAGGTCAGGTCAGCAGACATTAACTTCCTTTTTAAACCCTTCCTTTTTCATGAAAAATAGATCTCGTTGGTTCTCAAAGCAGTTATTGTTATTTAATTACCTTGGACTCATGATTCATTTTCTTTAAGAAGATTACTCTTTAATGAAATGTCTTCTTGCATGATAGCCACTACACAGGGATAAGTTTCTCCTCATGTGTCGTTCCCTGGTTTAACGTTTCCTTTTTTCTTATTCTTATCCTTAATGCAACAGGGTTGAAAATCGTTCCATGTTCTTACCCATTCGGTTTAGGCAAGTGGATGGTGTTGGTGATTCATGGAAACTTATCCTTCCCAATACATCCAGTTCCTTCTTTTGGGAAGATCTTGGTAGAAAAAGGTTTTTGGAACTCTTCATAGATGGTTCTAACTCATCGAAATCATTGATGTTTGACATTGATGAGATTTCTGATCACCAGCCCATCGAGGAAGAGGATGGACCTTCTAGAGCCTTGCGTGTTACAGTACGCAAGGAAGACAAGGTTAATGTTGTGAAGATTAGCGATTGGATGCCAGAAAGTGAACCTACAGTGCTGTAGGGGTAAGAGGACCTTCGTCATTGTCACAGCTACCTGGGAATGACTATCAACGACAGCAGTTTCCATCTAACTCGGACTCTGAATTCCATTTTATCTTGGAGCTTGCGGAGCTTGGAATCTCCATCGTTGACCATACACCTGAGGAGATTTTATACATGTCAGTGAAAAATCTGCTATTGGCATATTCTACCGGTTTGGGGTCTGGGTTCAGTAGGTGAGACGACATCTTTAACGTTGACATTTTCCCCTGGAAATATGTTGGTGTTTGCTGGTGGTAACCCTCTTGTACTTTCACTTTCAGGTTCAAGCTAAGAATACACGGAATACAAGTGGACAACCAGCTGCCATTAACTCCCATGCCCGTTCTTTTTAGGCCACAGAAAGGTGGAGATGAGGCAGATTATATCTTGAAGTTTTCCATGACAATGCAATCGAATGGCTCGCTTGATCTTTGTGTCTATCCGTACATTGGATTCAGAGTGAGCTTTTATATATACAATCATTCGACTTACTATTTAGCGTTTGGTTTTGTGGGTTAATTGTTACATATTTTTTTATTTACTTGATAGGGACCTGATATTGCTGCCTTTTTTATAAACATTCACGAACCTATCATTTGGCGCCTCCATGAGATGATGCAACAAGTCAACTTCAGTAGATTATATGAGACACAAACAACTACTGTTTCTGTCGATCCGATCATTGAAATTGGGTATGCGTTGGCCTTGTCCAAAACTTTTTTAATCTGTTGGAATTTCAATTTTTACTTCTGTTATAGTTTTTTCTTACCTCTGATATCATTAAACTATGTAAAATACAGCGTTCTCGACATTTCTGAAATTCGGTTTAAAGTATCAATGGCCATGTCACCGAGTCAGCGACCAAGAGGAGTGCTTGGATTCTGGTCATCTTGATGACTTCTTTGGGCAACACTGAAAATATGCCTGTAAGCTATTGAAGTCTTCCTGTATTTGTCGTTAAGTTCTGAGTTTATTTTATTTGAGTAATTTGGGCTTCTTTCTCATTGCACATCAAAGATGGAGTCCATTTCTTCCATTGATAGAATGTTCTATTCTATGTCTGTCTAAAATTGCAAAGGCAGAACTGAACTACTCTCATGCTAGTGCTCACTCCTGGTTTGCTCTTAGTGGGAAAATATTATCTTCTAAAAGATTTGTTTCGGGCGTAGAGACCTAAATTTCTGTTCCGAGACCACCTGGATTCTTGCAACTGCTATTTGAAGATTATTTGGAAATGGCAGCAATGATTGTTTTTGTATGGTCTAAAACAGATAAGAGTGAATCAAAGATTCCATGAGAACGTGTGCATGAGGCAGAGTACAATGATTAGCATTGCCATTACAAACGTTAAGAAGGATATTCTTGGGCAGCCTTTGCAACTTCTCTCTGGTGTTGATATACTGGGTAACGCAAGCAGTGCCCTTGGACTCATGAGTAAAGGTGTTGCTGCTCTGTCAATGGATAACCAGTTCATCCAGGGTCGTCAAAGACAGGTTTGTTAACATCCTTTGTGCAGTGTTCTTAAGATCAGTTATTTTAACAGGATTTAGTGTCAGTTAACCATGTGATTAGCATTCTGCGTCAAGGTCCTTTAGCCTATTTATTCCGAAAGAGTGTCGTTACCGTAGTCTGCTTTGCCCCTGTTGCATCTATTCTACTATATTCCTATTGTACACATTGCTGAATCATTCCACTGTTTTTTTTTTTTTCTATCTACTAATTTAATTTTTGTGCTTGAAGGAAAACAAAGGAGTGGAGGACCTTGGTGACGTCATCGGAGAGGGAGGAGGAGGAGCTTTTGCGAAGGGGATATTCAGAGGGGTGACTGGTATATTGACAAAGCCACTAGAAGGTGCAAAATCTTCCGGGGTAGAGGGATTTGTCCAGGGTTTTGGAAAAGGAATAATTGGTGCTGCTGCTCAACCGGTTAGTGGGGTTCTGGATCTTCTGTCGAAAACCACAGAAGGTGCCAATGCAATGAGGATGAAGATAACATCTGCCATAACATCAGAAGAGCAGCTTCTTCGAAGGAGACTGCCTCGTGTTATTGGCGGTGATAATTTGGTTCGACCATACAATGAGTACAAAGCCCAAGGCCAGGTAATTCTGCAGTTTCTTTCTATTTTATTTATTTATTTATAGAATAGTGTTTGTTTGCTAGTATCCTTAAAAGTATTACTCACCATGATCAGTTGGGCAATGCTCTGCTGGTCATGTCTATCTTTGTCAACAAGTTTATCCAGATCCAGAGGGCTTCATGGATATTGTGATTTTGGGTTCTGAAAATTTGGTTATTGGTTATTCGTTAATTCATCTTGTTGGAGCTTTTATTAGTACCCTGAATTGCATTTTGCCCTTGTCCAGGTTATACTGCAACTGGCAGAGTCGGGTTCATTTTTCGGCCAGGTTGATCTATTTAAAGTACGTGGGAAGTTTGCTTTATCAGATGCTTATGAAGATCATTTCATTCTCCCTAAAGGAAAGATTGTCATGGTCACACATAGGAGGGTGATGCTATTGCAAGTACGTTCTCAACGCGATGCTCCATGCCCTCTTTCAGTTGTGCTCAATGCCTAAAGTTGTTGAATCGGAAACCTTGCCTGCCTTTTCTTGCCTATTTTTCAGCAACCATCAACCATTATCGGGCAGAGAAAGTTCAACCCGGCTGGGGATCCATGTTCAGTACTTTGGGATGTGCTGTGGAGCGACTTGATGACGATGGAGCTGAATCATGGGAAGAAAGACCAACAAAAGTCCCCGCCTTCAAAGCTGCTCATATATCTACAAAGTAGATCGACAGAGTTGAGGGAACAATTTCGTCAAATTAAATGCAGTCGTGAAACTGATCAAGCTCTCGAGGTTACTGTTCAGTTGAAAGAGCAATGAACACATATGGACGGGATACACTACGGGTTTGTTAATCCTAGATCCTTCCTATAGCAAACTGGAGTCTGAAGAATTTCGAACTAATGTGGGAATTTTGATGCATTTTGCACTGTGTGTACGTTTTCCCCACTTTTTTGGTCCGGGCTTCTTATGCAGGAATTGCTGAAGAACAAAGTGATGAAACCATATTCACCAAGTTTAGAAGGGGCCAATACGGAAGCAACTGCGAAAGAAGGGGCTCCTGCCTGGCCGCCTCCACTGCCCCCTAGACAAGGATCAAATTTGACATTCGGCAGCAGCTCTGGCTAATTCCAGGATTCAATTTCCACCTGCAAGCTTTTTGAGGAAACAATGTGGGATGAACTGCTATAAAAAAGGTATGAATTAAACTCGTTCGCCTGGGCTTACACCTGATAAAAGAATGGTTCTTCAGCCTGAACATTCGTCGAGGCTCGGTTAATTTCCCACATATCAAACGCTGCCTTGCTTCAGTGGAGAAGTGAAATGAGCAATTCAGATGGTTGTATAAACTTCGCTTGAACTTAAGATTGGGAGTCTGCTGTGTCTGACATTTTATCATGCAGGTTTATCCATAAGGTCGTCAATGATGGTATAATGTAAAGGATTGGTTGCCGCAAGGAAGAAAATGTCAGATTCAATTTGCCTGCTGAAAAGGAGTTTTTTTTGTATAGTAGGTTTACACAAGAATATCAAATGGGGAATTTATCAACTATCAAGTATAGAGACACAGGAGAGAGATTGCAAATTAGGTGTTCGGCTTCTAACACCGGCCCTGCCTGCTTTGTCTTCTGCACTTTCAGTTTTGTAGTCTTAAGTTCCCGTGACGATCGATTTAGGGTTGTTACATTGAACAATAGAAATAGTCAGAGGACATCACACCTCTCTTTTTTTCTTCTTTTTTTTTTCTAGGACCCTCTTCGTTGAACAAAAGTCACAAATTCATGAAAAATTATTTGTTGTTTCGTTGGGGTTCGTGAAATTTGTACTAATTTATTGTGATTATTAAATCACATGGCATTGATAAATGTGAATGATTTCAGTAAGTATGTATTTGTATGTTTCGGTTGATTAATTCTGTTCATGATTGTAGAGATAACCGTGATGATTTAACCGGGTATTTCCATAATTAATGTGTTTTAAATTTTTTTTATCCAAAATGCAATGATTGAAAAAATATATCCCAATCTACTGTCTCTAAATCGGAATAGGGGCGCGCGTTTTGTTGGGTAGAAAGCCTAATTCGGGCGCGCATGCCTGTATACAACAAAAATAAATAAATGGGGCATCAATAAGCCCAATTGGGGCGCACACGCCTCAATTGGGCTTATTCTCGCCCCAATTTGCTTTTCAACGTACAATTTTCCCAACGTCTCAGAATAGACCAACGTGTAATTTCCCAACGGGAAAAACAAACGGAAACAAGCCTAGGTCTAATTTGGGGAAAACCTCTGCCGCTCCTTTGGCCACCTCGGTCGGGATTGTCGACGTGGTGCCCTACTCCACCGTCAACCTCTTCGCCTTCCATGGTGGGCGGAATGAACAAGGAGAGTTGGAGAGAAGTCGATTTCCGACGGGTTTGGGCGATCGATAGGGGAGGAGGCGATTTCATACAGGTTAATGGATGGGGCGATTTCCAGTGGGCTTTAGAGGGAATTTCCCGCCGGCCTAATTGGGGAAATATAGAGGAAGAAGACGATATGCGTTGTATATATGTATCTGGGCAAAAAAAAAGACTAATTAGGGCGCGCGCCCCAATTCGACTTTTGGCAGTTGTCGTATTAAATTGGGGCGCGGACGCCCATATTAGGCTTTTTCTCTTTTGGGGAACCCAATTGGGGCGCGCACGCCCCAATTCCAGTTTAGAGACAATAAATTAGGAATTATTTTTTCAACTACTACATTTCGGATAATTTTTTTTTAATCACAATAATTATGAAAAAAACCCGATTTAATCCATATTAATTCAACTGTAACCTTAATCTTTATATTTTCCTATCATATTATGCATCCAAACTCGACAAATATTTTAAATTTGTATTATGGAACTATGTATTGTTGGATATTGCATATATATTTATATATAGGATTAGGATACATGCATGCTAAAGTGTATGGGTGATTTGAATGGAGTATTTGATTGAGTTATTTGAACACAAATAACTTGTTTGACAACATTTCACTGAAATGAGTTATTTGGGTAGCGAGTTATTTACAAATAAATGAAAATGAATTATTTGAAATAACTCAAACCGAGTTATTTTTTGAGTTATTTCAAATAACTCCTACCCCCAATGTTATTTCAAAATAGCTCGTTTTACCCTCTATTTTTATCAAATACAACATGTGCATGGTTCAAATAAATGATATAACAGAACTACAAGCATGCAAAAGGAGATATTTTCTAGGATTCAGGGTCTAGATAAAAGGAACACTATTAAAGTCATTTTTTAATAATGTTGATGTCATTTTTTCTACTAATGGAAAATACCAAAGGGAATAATATAAGTTTTTTTTTTAGATAAGGGTGATGTAGGTTAATTTTTTATTATTAGGTACTACTTAATGGACTTGAACCTGAGACCTCCAGGTTCATGGCTAGTGGTATTACCACTAGACCAATCCCTTGTTCGTGAATAATATAAGTTATTATCATTAGATATTTATTACCATAATAAAAAAGAAAATAATATCTTTTATTTAAAGAATATCCATGTGAAAAAAAATAATGGTGATTTTGGTCTCCTCTGGTCTTTAACATTTATAAATTACACTGGCGACATTCAGAATAATTAATCAAACACTCAAACTATAGTTTGACACAAAACTTGCAAGAGGTGTAAGAAATGGGGATAGAATACAATCGTAGCCGAAAATGGAGCAGACTGCAATGAAATTGACTTTCTTTGTTACTCTCTTGTTTTTTATAACTGGTATGCATCTGTTAGTTTTACCCTCTTAATTTTAGAGTTATACACTGAATTTCTTATATATTTGACAATAATAAGCTAACACGTTTGGCTTTATTGAAGGTTCAGAGATAAGAATTGCGAACGGATAGAGATGCACTATTGTACCAAATTGCATGCAATGATGTTTCGACCAGGGGTGCCAAATTTGTACTTGTATAGACCATTAGTGTATTTGTCTTGAAAATATTAAGGATAATAATGTCACTTCTAATGTGACACACAAAAACATTGGTTCTCTGTCTCCAACGAATCCGTAGAACTTTATGCAAATAACGATGTATTGTGATTATGGACTCTACAATGCAATGAATAATGGAGTGAGCTAGAAGAAACACCAATGTTATGATAGTTTGTAATTTTGATTTTATGCATCATTTGCGTCCCAAATCAAATCCGTCTCACTGGTGACCAGGGTTTTGAAGGCTAGATATTTTCCTAACAGGGACATTCTAGAAGCAGACGAGGGATATAATCCAAGTTATACATGGTGATGTCTTATGAGGGCAAAGGATCTGGTTAAGAAAGGGCGAAGATGGAAAATTGGAGATGTAAGAAAAGTAGACATATGGATTGATAGCTGGTTATATGATGATACACAAAAGAAGATTACATTGTCGGTCAAGTCTATTAATGGCAACACCTCCGTCTCATAACTAATAGATCATGACACCCGTACTTGGAAAACTGACCTACTTCAAGCCTATTTCAATCGGGTCCGGATAGAATAACAACAACATATTTGTTATTACTATAACAACAAGGACAAAAAGGTAATACAACAAAAACACAATAAAATTAATTAAAATGAAAAATCAATTTTTCTCCGTTCCTCCATCCAGATCTCAGTCGGTCTTCTTCGTCTCATCGTCTTATCCATCCCATGATTTCTTCTTTCTCCTAGCTCCGGCATCGACGACAATCCAAACAGGAAAACGGCGGTGGTGGAGGTTGTTTTCCGATTCCCCGTTGTTTCCGCGTCACTGGCTGCGGGATCGGCCGCGGCGGACGGGTCTTCAGGAACTAGGTCTTCGAAGGCTCGCTGTTGGACGTTGACACAGGATCAAGCTGACTACGACGGCGACAGAAGTTGCGGGAACTGCAAGAACACCGTCTCATAGAAGATTCGTCGGTCCTGGAGCAAAGGCGTCCTTGCTCTCGCGGCATCTTCCGGTGCCAAATCCGGATCGTCCCCTTCGTGTTCATCTAAGGCGTCGAGCCGATCGGCGACCACCGCCTCCGACCACGCCTTGTCCTTCCATACGTCGACGCAGAGGTCATATATGAAGTCGAGCGCCCCGCATCTGCAAGGCGGCGAAAGTGGCCTCAATCGGGGGGAGATGGAGCCCGGAAAAAGGAAGACGATGATCCCCCTCTTCCCCCTGCCATCGTCTTCTTCTTCTCTTCCTCCAAGAAAGAATTGAAATTATTGCCCCCACAATCTAACAACCCAGAATCAATGAAATTGACGAGGCAGTGAAATTAAAAAGGCAATAAATGTGGTTCTTATTGCATCTTAATAATTTCTACAATATTAACTCAAGTATATACACTAATTTTAATTCACTTGTAATTGCAATTAGTGAGTCCAAGTAATTTTGTAATTTTCCTAATAATTACCACAAATCTCTTGACTTAAACCATAAATACACATAGTAAACAACAAATATTTCTAAAACACACCAACAACCTCTTAATGCAAACCACAAATACGGTAAAACAAACCACAAAAAGCATATCAGAAACCTCCCAATGCATACTACAAATCCCTTAAAACAAACCACAAACCTCACAAACCAAACCACAAATATTTTGAAAGCACACCAGAAACTTCGTAATGCAAACCAGAAACCTCCTAATACATACCACAAATCTCCTAAAACAGACCACAAACCCCACAAAGCAAACCACAACATTTGCGAAAGCACACCAGAAACCTCCTAATGCAAACCACAAACACAGTAAATCAAACCACAAAAAGCAAACCATAAACGTCCTAATGCAAACCACAAATATATTAAAACAAACCAGAAACCTCACAATGCAAACCACAAAGTTTTTGAAAGCAAACCAGAAACTTCTCAATGCAAACCACAAACACAATAAAGCAAACCATAAAAGGCATAAAAAAATATGAGAAACCAAACCATAAATCTAACAATGCAGACCATTATATCCGGTGATCGTTGACCGTTGACCGGTCAACGAAGACCGTTGACCGGTCAACGAAGTTCGTTGACCGAACTCCGGTGACCGTCAGTGAGCAGATTCCGACGCCGATAGGCATATTCCGGCCCCGATGACTAGATTCCGACGCCGGTAAGCATATTCCGATGACAAAATAGCATATTCCGGCGACAAAAAGCATATTCCGGTGACCGGCGACCATTTTCCGGCGACCGGTGCCAGAATTCCGGCGACCAAATTTTTGGGCAGAAAATAAAAAATATATTTTTTTATTTTTTTTTATTTTTTTATTTTTAAAACAGATTTTTCATAATGACAATTATACCCCTGATTTGATTTTACACTAGGTCAACTCATCTAATAAAAAGTCATCACAATCCTAGCTTCCTATTGGTTGGAGACTAGTGTTGTTACAATAACAACACAAGGGGTGTTGTCATAGTAACCGGTCCCATTTCAATCCTACGGACATGAAGAACATTCTCAAATCTATCTATCTATCTATATCTATATCTATCTATCTATCTATCTATCTATATCTATATCTATATCTATCTATCTATACTATATATTATGACAATTCAAAAGTAACTTCTTGCCACATAAGCACTTGGAGAATTTACAAGTTGTCAAAGTGGATAACTTTTTTTGCAAACAAAAAATTCATTATTGATCTATTTATGGAGCTATCTCTCTCTTCTTTTAATATTTCTACTCATTTTTACTAAAAATTAATAATAAATGACTTTTTTATGAAAATGTAAACAAACACACAAAAGTATAATATTTTTTTCAATTAAAAAAATATAAAGATGGA